TAAGCTCTACGGACTCGAGGAGGTTCTACTATCTCTTCCTCCAACTTTCGTTTCCTTTCAATGTAAATAATGCATTAGAGCATTTTGCAGTTGGTATCGCTGCCTGATAAGAACGGGGTTGAAGAGGCGAATGGTGTGTTGAGGTAGAGGGGTTAAGTTAGGTTAGGTTCAAAGTGAGGGTCAAAGTTATTGGATCAGGAGTTGGAGAGTTGAGAAGCTCTAGTTCCTGATCTAAATTTACAGGGATGTCAGTTGGAGTCGTACACTCGACATCCATTTCCTCTGTGGTAGTGGGGTTACTCCACGAATATTTTAAAAAGGTACAAACTCGACTTCTGAGAATTCCCGAAGTCGTTTCTCCTCTTCTGGAGTGTGGGATACCAATAGAAATGCATGTGGAGGTTAAGCACATCGGCCCAATTAGGTGGTTCTTGATTCGAATGTCACCAGTCCCTGAGTGGAGCGAGAAGTCTTGCCGCTGCAGGATGTTTATTTCAAGAACTAGGTACAAAGGCAGCCCTATGATATGCCCTAAAGTTCCGGTGTATCACATCTCACCATTGGCCATCCAGGCGATTTCTGCCACGCTGGTTATTTTTCGGAGACCTGATGTATGCCACTGGTGCGCCACATGGTTTTCAACGTATGAATTCGTTGCTCCGGTGTTTATTGAAGCCTGGGCGGTTTCTTCTGCCAATGTTAAGCCGACATGCGGTCGGTTATTAGAATTTGAGACGCGAAAGAGTTCTGGGAACTCTTAGATTGGCTAATTGAATAATTGAATTTGTGAAAAGGAAAGTAAAACGTTTGCACCTGTCTAGTTGAACGATTGGGGACATGTAAAGATATTTTGGAGGAAAGCTCGGGACTGATACTCAGTCCGTTGATAATTTTGAATAGAAGTATTAAATCTCTATGTTTTCTGCGAGTCTCAAGAGAAGGTATGTTCAAAATGCATTCCAATGCAGTATAGTCATAGTATACACGCATCTTGAAGACAATATATCGCAGAAAATTGTGCTGTACGGCTTCGAGTTTCTTTTTTTGTGTAACGTAGTGAGGGGACCAAACTGTGGAACAATAATCGAGATGAGATCTAAACAGGGAAAAATAAAGAGATTTAATAGCAGTGATGTTGGTGAAATCACGAGTGGTTCTCTTTATAAAGCCACGCATCTTCATAGATTTTTGAATTACAGCGGAAATGTGTGATTTATAGCTAAGTGTGGAGTCTAGGATCACACCTAGATCTTTGGTTTCAGTAGCAGACTGTAAGGTCCGATTATTTATACTATATTCAGAAATGATTGGGTGATGTGTTTGATGAAAGCGAATAACTTGGCATTTGGATGCATTCAAACACATACCATTTTGCGAACACTAGTTGGATAGGCAATCTATATCGTTTTGTAGACACAATGTATCAGCTTCACTTTCAATTATTTTTAAACATTTTAAACCGTCGGCAAATAGCAAAGCTTCGCTTTCATGGAAACAGCTGATTAGATCGTTAATAAGAAGGTTAAACAACAGTGGTCCCAAATGTGAACCTTGTGGAACACCCGATGTAACCGCGATGGTATGAGAATAATAATGATTAACTCTAACAATTTGTGTTCTTTCCGGAGGATAGCTCTTGAGCCACTGCAATATTTGCCCATCAACACCATATAAACAAAGTTTATGGATCAATAGCTCATGATAAACTTTGTGAAAAGCTTTGGAGAAATCAGTGTACACAGAGTCAACTTGCAAACCCTTTGACAGAGCGTCAGACAGAAAATCAACGTAGGTAATTCAGCTGACTTTTTGGATGTAAATCCGAATTGTTCGGCCCCCATAATTGGGGAGCAGTCATAAGTAAGATAATCAAAAATGATTCTCTCAAAAACTTTAGGGATTGCGCTAAGAATAGAAATTGGACGATAATTACACGTCGGATTTTCATTTCATTCGGAGACGAGACCACCGCTAAAATGTTCGTCCACTTACACTTAATCTGCGAAGTTCGTATATGTTATATGTGTTATTGATAGTGATGTATTTTCTATGTGTTGTGATTATTGTTGAATATTCCTATATAGTCATTTATTTTTTGAAAAATGAGCGTTCATCCCAGGAAAATTTTATTAGAAATTACATGTAACAAGCATACATAACACAGTTTCTTGATAGTATATTTTGTTTTAGGTCCATATTTTGGTAGCCGACACGTACAAACTATATTTTATTTTTTACTATTCACAATCACCTATTGCAAAAGGGCAGCCCTTTCAATTGCGATCGTAGCAATGAATGACAACTCAACATCATCCAACGTTGACATCGAGGTCTGAACTGGTCATCCTGTTGTCTGCCTCTTTATACGGTCAGAGCGTCTTAACTCAGGTATTTCAGGTACTTTAGGTAAATTTGCCTGTATTTGTTCTGCATCAGGTACTCTTCTTTGTGTTAGATCTTCTCTAGGAATGTGTATGGTTTTGTTTAATATATTGAATTCAATATACCTGAAATACCTGAGTTGAGGCGCTCTGACCGAATAAAGAGGCAGACAACAGGATGACCAGTTCAGTTTGTGGAGTGCCTAGAAGATGACAGTACTACCAACTGTCGAAAGCGCTCGCAGATAATTAATAGAAGATATAAAGCTTCAAATCCTTGTATGTAGAAATACGAGTTTCTTCTTCAATTGGGTTTGATAGTCAATGGCTATATGAATAATACTATTGATTGATCATTCGAGTTTCGGAAAGTTATATTTCCATTTCTCGGAATCGAAAAATTACATAGTGAAAGTAAACAATAACATATGGAACATAACATATGGAAATGACTCAGCAAAATAGTTTTTAACCTCATTTTGGTGAGTTATTTCCATATGTTCAGATTGGCATCCATGTGAATTTCGACGTAGTGTCTTTATTCAATACATTGTATAAGTTTGAAAATATCCTTATACATTGTATAAGTTTGAAAATGTCCTTATAGGACGAAACTGCAGTAACGTTAGTTACCAATAAAAGTGGTAAAAACATGGAAAGTACAATTTCTCTTTTCTTTATTATGATTTCCTAGTAACGGCTACATCCATCAATTAATTGATTAATTAATCATCATCTTCATCACGAACGAGTCTCTGTGATCAGCTGAGATGGCATCATGGCAACAGAATTCAGAGTGGAGACGAAGGGAGAGAGTAATAGATAGAGAAAAAGTGAATAAAGAATAGAGGAATAGAAACTTGAAGAAGGAAATATAGGTATCACACAGCTGCACGCATTAAACTTTATCGACGAATTTTTGTTATTTCGGCTTGCGTCCTTGAATTATTTCCTTCAAAATAAAAAAAAATTAGCTATTCTCGATAATGTCGAAATGACGTTATTTTTTTACAATTTTGCTGCCCTCCCATTTCTTTACGTCACTTTCAAATTGTCAGATTACTGGAATATACACTTTTTAGAAGGTAATTAACTCTCCCTGCCTTAATCTGACGCGCTCGAGAATTTCTGATGATTAATTTTTTTTACTAATCTGATCCTTTATCCCTCACAGGCGGCCTTATATATGGGGCTCATATTTGGTGGAGGTACTTAACCGGGTACAAGGTATCCCCCTGTATATTAATCTGCCGCGCTTTAGTAAATCCCGAAATCTCCCCTTGGGCTCCTCTATTATAAAGATAGCAATAGTTCTATTCACATCGTTTTCTGATCCTTTTACAATTTTTTCACATAATCAACCATGTTCTTTTTCAATAAAAACACTTCATTCACTTCTAGACCTTCAAATGGACAAACGAAAGTGTAGTTTTGTCAGCTTTTTTCTGGGGTTACGTTATTTTCCAAATTCCTGCTGCTCAATTGAGCAAGAAAGTTGGTGCCAAATGGATGCTGGTGGGCTGCACAATCTTAGATTCACTATCTTTCATGATAATTCCAATAGTGGCAAGTCATTTAGGGTCAATTGGCGTGATGGGATGCAGAGTTTTAGAAGGTCTAGCTCAAGGCGGAGTGTCGCCTCTGGTTCATACCTTGTTAGGAACTTGGGCACCTCCTGGAGAGAGATCCGTCCTTGGCACTTTTGCTTACTCTGGTAAGTTTTTTTAACACGCTTTCATTAGCTTCACTATCACTATTATTAGCTTAACTATCGAGATCTGTATCTGACAGAATTATTGACATTATTGCTTGATCTATTCGCGGGCAGATGGCGATGTAATTAATCTCCTTGATATATCGACATNTTTGAAAATGTCCGTATAGGACGAAACTGCAGTAACGTTAGTTACAAATGAAAGTGGTAAAAAACATAGAAAGTTTCATTTCTCTTTTCTTCATTATGATTTCCTACCACGTAGTAACGGCTACATCCATCAATTTATTGAATAGCTTTTTCCACAATACCGGACGTTTTCTTCGTATTGTTTTCCGCAAGCGGCGCATAACTTCAAGATGATAATTTTTATTGACCGTATGATCATGTGACAAGAGCTCCTGATGTACTTCACCACGGTAATCAGAGAAAACAGGCGCAGAACCTTGACATTTGATCGAACTCTACGTGTTTTATTGGTCTGGGCTCTTCTGAGCACTTTCATTGGGACGAATACAATTTGGCTTCGATGTCATAACTATATACCTATGATTCGTAACCATTTATGACCCTTTCAAGAAAATCTGGATAACTGTTGACGTTTACCAACTGGCCGGATAGCCTTAGTTGCTGAGGCCATTGAATCGAAAAGAAGAAGAAGTACTGTTGACGGTATTCGAAAATTCCTGAGCGATGCTCATGCTACGGGTATTTTGTCAAAACTCTGAGATTTTGGAACGAAAGTTTCTGAAAAAAATTGCATACCATGAGCCAACCGATTTGCCGCCATCTTCAGCAACTTCTCAATAGTAATTCGACGATTCTCCATAGCAATTTTTATAACATTCCTAATATTTTCATCGGCTGTTGATGTCTTGGGGCGTCCAGGCCAAGCTTCGTCATTCACATCTTCTCGACCTTCTGTTTCTGACCCATAGTACAATCACCGTATGCCACTGTCAACATTTCAGGTGTTTTATATCACCTTATTCCATTTTTTACACAAAATTTGATGCAATTTCATTATTTTCGAACACTTCAAACTTTCATGACTTTCACCAACAAACTAAACATACTAAACAATTGAAACTATGTACATATGTTCGCGACGAGTGTATCAATATAAAAAAATTGCTAATAGAATATACGTATCACGCGAAATTGGAACATTCACCTTATTTTTTGAACAGACATCGTACATAATGTTTTGGCGAAGAAAACCATTTGACCATTCGCTATTTTCACAAAAATATTTACGAAGTCCTTTCAGCATAACATTATAATACAAACTTGTTGAAAGCTATGTATTTTCATGAATTCAATGTGAATTTCGAAAGTATCTGACATTTTAGTATGGTAAAAACTGAATCTTTCACATATAGTCAGTGGGCATACACCTACTCCCCTGGCTAATACCGCGAAGGGCGTTGGCGTATTTCGGGAAATAAGATACATACTTCATTTTCAGGATGCATTTGTGGAAATATCCTATCGTTATCAGTTACCGGATTCATATGTTCAAGCGGATGGGGTTGGCCGGCGGTATTTTACATCTTCGGAATTATCGGTCTCATGTGGACGTTGGCTTGGATCATATTTGGAGCAGACAGACCAAGTTCTCACAAAACTATAACTGATGCTGAGAGAAACTATATCGAAATCAGCCTCAATCAACAAGTACATAAGGTATGTTTTTAGTTGAATGGTGAATGCAGTTTACACTTTGAATCATGAATCGAATTCGATTTCTCAAAACTACCTGCAAAAATACGGTGTTTTTGTTCAAAATTGGCTTTATTCATCAACGTAATCTCTCCATCAAGAGCCACACAATCATTCCAGCGTCGCTCCAACATTTCAATAACACTTTTGTAAAACGACTTTTCTTTTGCCTCAGCCATTAGTTGCTAGGAGTCAAATCTGGCAAATATGGTGGATGTGGGAGCAATTCGAAGTTCAATTCATGTGGTTTTGCTATTGTTCTGATTGAATTGAGACACGATGCTTTGTCTTGAGGAAACAAAAATTTTTTCTCTGCAATACGTGGTTGTTTATTTGCAATTTCGGACTTCAAACGCTTCAATACCGCTATATAATATTCATTGTTGATGGTATTTCCCTTCTTGAGATAGTCGATGAATATTACATCACGCTTTATGAAGCATCAAAAGTTGCTGATGTGTATACAGTTTTGTTCATACGGTTTGTTATTGGTAATTTGTTTTCATTCGGTATTCCTAATATGGTCTTTTTATGATCTGTTGTGCCTGTGTCGTAAATTCCAGAGATACATGTATCGTGTACAGATTTACTTGATCTTAAAAATATGTGGTCGATGCATGTTTTTTACTCACCTTGTATTCTTGTATTTTTATTAATCATAGAGATGAATTTATATTCGCTCATGTTGTTCAGGTAATTGAAAATTATTTCTGTTTATTTGTTCATATCTAAATTCATATCTACCATAATAATGTGATTTTCTGTGATGTTTCGTGTTTTCGAAGTATTCTTGAATTCGTGTAACAAAATCTTCTGCATTTGTAGAAGATTCATATAATGCCGTTATCAAGGTAGAATTATTTTCAGTATTCAACTCGGTTTGTATTGCTCTGCATTCAGCGATATTTATGATTTTTTGAACGTATTTTATTTCATTTTTTATAAAGGGGTGCGCAAAAGTCCTGAATAAAATTAATATCTTTTTAACCAGTATTTTAGGAAAAAAAATGCTGAAACACGACAGTTGATTTCACGTTGTACGCATTTTTTGGTAATAAAATGAACATTTTTTTTTCAACCCCTTAGCTGCAACCCTCCCCAACTTTTTTTTTTCAAATGCAAACCTATGTTATGTATGGGCTCATTGAATAGCTTGTAAAAAATGGATTCGGACCATACCCTTCATTTTTTTTGTGGTTACAGCCAAGTGAGAAAAAACTCTTTTGAAAAGTTACAAATACCTAACTTAGTGCTATCTACGGGTGAATTAACGTAACAGATGCTGAAATTGGCCTCCACCCTCTACTTTTCAGGCTCCTAGGCGATGGTAAAACCCGTCTACGGAATTCCGAATGGCCTCAGCCGGTATGTTATGTGATTCCACTCTAATTCTGCTTTTTCCGTTTTTGAGATATAACGATTCAAAAAGTTGTAAAAGTTGTAATCGTCATAATATGCACACGTTTCCACGCCACCTATGAGGTAGTGTACTTAGTTCGTTTTTTCAACGTAGTTTCCCCAGTAGGCCAATTCCACGGGTTAGTTGTGATCCTGTTTAATTTGAAACTATTGTAAAATAATGAATATTAGCGAAAATTGAAAAGACAAAAGCAATTTGAGTTAAAAAAGTAGTGAAATTTAATCGTCAAGTCGTAACTTTCAAATTCTTCTTCTTGATCTTCTTGTTCTTGATCGTCTTCTTCTTGTTCTTCTTCATCTTCATCCTGAGTACAAGTAAACTGCGTTAATAGCGTTGTATCCCATGTCGCCTCGTTGGAATCAAACGGATCCTCAACTGTTGGTGATTCAATATTAGAGAACGACCGGCCTTAACAATGTGTACATCCCAGAGAACACTTGAACTTGGTAATATACCCGAAAAAGATTGATGAGCAGCAACTGAGGTTGGAGGAAGAGTAAATGTACTCGTTTTTTACTTTTGGCATTTTCAACGAAACATGCATATCTATACTTATCTAAGAAGGTAGTTGTTTTTGGAGCTCCGTACATAGAAAGAAGAAAGTGATAATTCCTTGTCGAGTTGAATCACTACTTTTAAAAACTTCAGCAGCAATTTTGTTTTTCAAACATTTTGAAAACTGTTTTTTCCGTTTCCTGTAAACTGCAGATGTCGTATCAGAGCCAGTTATTGCGTGTAAAAATAGTATATGATTTTGACTCTTTGCAAAAGTAGATA